GAGGGGGGGGGGTGGGGGGGGGGGGGGGGGGGGGGGGGGGGGGCTGGGAAGCCTGGCTCTTGGCCTAACCTGCCCTGGACTGTAAGGCTCCCAGGTTGCTGAGTCACATCCATGGGCCGCCACAGCTTCTGCCCAGCACTGACCCTGACTGCAGGGAAGTGGGCAGAAGGTCACTTTCCCAGGCTCAGAGTGGGGATGCAGGGAAGGGCCTGGAAGGGACCATTCTCTCTCCAGGGCTGCTTTGTCAGGGGTGCAAAGCCTTGCAGTCGAAGGACCAGCCGCAGGTGTGGACAGGTCCCAGTTGTGCTCCCATGGGCAAATCACCTTCACACCCGATTAGCCAAATCCACCCACCCTTCTCTGGTCACTCGGTTTCCCACCCCTTAAGGTTTTACCTGCTCCCATAAACCCCTCCATGAAAGGACATGACTTTGACTCTGCAGGTCTGACCTACTCACAGGACCCCACCTGGGACACTTCACAGGGTGACAGACCCTTCCCACCCATCTCCTTCCAAGATTCCTCACCCCAACCCCTTTACACCAGTCTTTGCTTACAGGTCAGTTTTATCACAGAGAGAAGTGTTTCTTGGTCCTAGCCGGAGGGCTGTTCTGACCCCTGGACTGCCCATGAGACCGATGGGCCTGAGGCACCACCTGCTAAACAGGTCCCATGGGGTTTCTCCTGAGCTTCAGTGAACACTTGGTGACCACGGAGGCTCCGGAAAGCCTTAATTGGCCCTCTGATCCAGTGCGGGTTGGGGGAATCTGTCCTCTTCCAGCACCTCTCAACCTTACGCCATATTAAACTGGGACCTCTTCTGGTGTTCAGGCCTGAGTTGGGGTAACGGTCAGTCAGTAAGGAGGATGCTGGCACCTGGGAGGTTGACTGCTTCCAATGGATGGGGGTGCTGCCAAGAGTTGCGGGGTCCGGACAGCACCTCGGGAGCTAGTTTGTTCTGGCGGGCAATGGCCGCTGAGTGCCTGGGAGCCTTTTGGTTTGGGGGTCTCCGTTGCCGCCCTCCCTCCTGTGCCGGGCATCCCTAGGCGGCCTGGGTTCTGCTCTGCTGAGTCACGACCACGCCTGGGCCTGGGAGGGCTCTGGGGCGGGACCCTCGCCGGTCCCTTTCCTCAGGTGTAGAGGCCAAGCCTACACCTAGATATTGGGGTGCTGGCGCCGGCCTCTCGGGGTCCGCGGTGTACTAGAGGCAGTGAGGAGAGGGGTCGGAAATGCGGCGGCCGGGAGACTGCGAGGCAATGGCGGGGGCGCGACGGGGAAAGGGCAGCTGGCGCGGGGGCCCAGCAGGGCGGCTCGCGCGCGGCAGGGGCGGGGCCGGGCCGGCAGGCCCCATCCCCCAAAGTGGCGGGGCGGGGCTTCCCGCGCGCCTTATAAAAGGCGCGCGCCCGTGGCCGAGGATGCCCAGTTCGCTCCTGCTCTGCAGTTGGTGGTAATGGCGCCGCTCACCGTGAAGGCCTACCTTCTGGGGAAGGAGGACGCGGCCCGCGAGATCCGCCGCTTCAGCTTCTGCTTCAGCCCCGAGCCCGAGCCCGAGTCGGAGGCCGAGGCCGAGGCCGCAGCTGGACCTGGGCTCTGCGAGCGTCTGCTGAGCCGGGTGGCCGCCCTGTTTCCCGCGCTGCGGCCCGGCGGCTTCCAGGCGCACTACCGCGGTGAGCGGGCCAGGCGCACTCGGGGCGCGGCGCGGGGTCATGACGCAGGCCTGCCCGGCGGGGCGGTGGCTACCATTTACATGTCGAACCCGGTGGCGTCCGCGGCTCGGCGGTGGCCGCTCACCCGTTGGGCGGCGGCCGGCGTGGGCTCCCGCTTCGGCCGCGGGTGCTACCCTTCCCCCCGCCGTGACGCTGCAGGTCTGGGCGAGGGCGCGCGGATGGTCAGGCGGGCACTCGGGTTACGCTGCCGCCTAGCCGCCTCGCCGCCGCCGCCAGGTGGGGGCTCAGACCGTCCCGGAAGAACCTGGGCCGGGCCGACGCGGGTAAGCCCTGTCCGGGTTGGGGGCTCAGGGCTGTGTGAGAGGCCGGACGGGGACCGACTTCAGAACGCCCGGGGCCGGGCTGAGCCCAGACGTCGTCCCGTTGGCAGTGGACAGAGGGGCAATAGCAAAACATTAAGCGTCGCCTAAGGACGGAAGCCCAGGAAGCAGCTCCGTCCTTGATTCGCTGTCGTGTCTGCCGGCTTCTGGGAGGCGGTGGTGGCGGAGAGGGCGGGGCAGCCGAGGCCCGCCCCTGGGAGCTGCAGTGCTGGGGCCGCCCTCAGGAGTGCAGCTGGCCTGCTTGGCCCCTCCCCTGCTGGTGGCCGCTCTTTGTAGGAACTTTACTGAGCTGTGATTCATGTATTAATATAGTTTGCCCACTTAAAAAAAATGTGTACAACTTTTAGCATATCCACAAATTTGTGGAACCATCATCACAATTTTAGAACCTTTTCATTGCCTTATAAAGGAACTGCCCTTCAGCCATCCTCTTGTAGCCCCCAGCACTAAGCAATCACTTATCTGCTCTTTTTCTCTTGATTTCCCTGTTACGGATATTTCACATAAATATATAAGCCAAGCCATACAATGTGTAGTGTTTGGTATCTGGCTTGTACTTAGCATGGTGTTTTCCAGGTTTACCTATATTGTGACCTGTCAGTCTGCCATTTTTCTTGTGGAATAGCATCCCAGTTTATGGACGTGCCACATTCGCTTATCCACTGGTTAGTTGTTGGGCATTTGGGTGGTTTCCACCTTCCACACCGGCGTTGTTGTGGTAGATGTTGCCTGGTGGCCCCCTAGATCTGGTCCAGCCTGCAGGTGTGTGGTGTTGGCCTGCATGGTGGTGCTTTAACAGCATTTGAACCAACACCTAAAAATTGGAAACTATGTACAAATGTGTAATTTTCACTTCATTGGATGAAGCAGCAGGCAGATACACTCAGTGACTTTACTCTCCTCAACCATGAGGCCAAAGGCCTTGGAAGGGCTGAGGTCCCTGGTGCAGGTCACAGTCAGCATCTTCCACAGATGACAGTGGGTCAGGTGTGGACCAAGGCAGCACCCTTCTGAAGGGGCAGTTAGCCCAGAGGCAGAGCGGCAGGTGGCCAGATACCCCTGCACATGTGCCCTGCCTCCTGCGTGCACCCAGGGCCCAAAGTACTTACCATGCAGGCAGTGGCAGAGTGAGTGGGTGACCTGGCCCAGCCTTTCTGCCCCTGGCTCAGCCAGGTGGGCCTCCACTTATAGCCCTGTGGGTGCATGGTGCACCTTTAGCACCAGCCTCAGCCCTTTTCAGCAGCTTGTGTTCAGCTAAAAGGCCCTAGTGCTCACACACTGTTCTTTGAACTATCTAGATGAGGATGGGGACTTAGTTGCCTTTTCCAGTGATGAGGAGCTGACGATGGCAATGTCATATGTGAAGGATGACATCTTCCGTATTTACATTAAAGGTAAGGGTCTGCTCTGGGGTGCTGCCTGAAGCCAGGTGTTCCCTGCTGAGTAAACCAGCTTGAAGTTGTAGAAACTCCCTGGAGAAGGGGTGAGGAGCCTGCAGCCATTAAGAGAGGGACATAATCACCCTCGCTGGGCTTGGCCTGAGAGGAGTCCCTGTCTGTGCGGGGCTGGGGGTCTCTGGGTTCACTCCACATTGTGCCCAGACCAAGTGCCCTGGGCTGGGGACAGCTTTGGGAGTGCTGCAGGGTTTATTTTAGTGAGGGACTGGGCCAAAGCTGTGCAGATGGGAGCTCCCTGCTGCTTCTCTCCTGCCTACACCCCATGTACCGGTCACAGGCGCAAGGACTGGGAGTCGCCAGGTGCCCAGGTTGCTCTCTTGCTGTCCCTGGAGCAAGTAAATTCCATGTGGACTCCTGCCTGGAGAGTGGAGCCAGGGGCCTGCTGACTGACAGCCCCACAGTGGCGACAAGTGGGAGACACAGGGGCCCCACCTCACAGCTCTGTGCCCTCCCTGCAGAGAAGAAGGAGTGCCGGCGGGACCACCGCCCCCCGTGTGCTCAGGAGGTGCCCCGAAACATGGTGCATCCCAATGTGATCTGCGACGGCTGCAATGGGCCGGTGGTGGGGACCCGCTACAAGTGCAGTGTCTGCCCAGATTATGATCTGTGTGCCGCCTGTGAGGGCAGAGGCCTGCACCGGGAGCACAGCAAGCTAGCCTTCCCCACCGCCTTCGGGCACTTCTCGGAGGTAAGCCGCACCTCTGTGGGCTTGGTGGGCGTGGGGAGGCAAGATACCCCCTGACCTGACACTGCCCTGCCCCTCTGCTGGCTCCTTCCAGGGTTTCTCTCACAGCCGCTGGCTCCGGAAGCTGAAACACGGGCACTTTGGGTGGCCTGGCTGGGAGATGGGCCCGCCAGGGAACTGGAGCCCACGGCCCCCTCGCTCCGGAGATGCCCGCTCCAGCCCCACGGCAGAAGCAGGTGAGGCTTCTGGGAGGTGAGCTGGAAGGACCCTCCCAAGTCTTCAGATCCTCTGTTCCTGTGGCTGGCCAGGTGCTTCACAGCCATTCATGCATTTGATCCTCCCACGAGTCTGCAGAGGGTAGAGCATTATCTCCATTTCACACCTGGGAGAACTGAGGCGCCCAAGTGCCCAAGCGTGGTAATCCACTTGGTGGCTGCTGCCTTACCACACTGCCCTCTGGGCTGGCTTTGAGGCAGCAGGCTGGCCCTCAGTGCCGGTGTCTCTGACTACGCCCTTCTCTTTTGTGTTAGCTGTGATGAGAGTCACGAGCCAAATTTGCTCAAGTCTTCTAAACAGAACTTGAGAACTTAAGAACTTACACAGAGCTTGCATTCTAGGCTTCTGAATTCTGGTTTCATTCCGATTTTCTTAATCTTAGTGCATCCTTTGATTCACCTCATCTTTTGGAACAAAGGAGGGATATTTGATTTTGAGTAAGTGGCTTATCGAGGATGCTGTCAGTAGCTTACACTGTGTGTGCTCAGTCCTCCTTGGGCTTGGAGCACTAGGGTCACAGAAGGGAGTGGGAGGGACTGAGGAAAGGGCTTGAGTGTAGGCTGCCAGGACAGCCCCCAGTTCAGAATGGGGGTCCCTGGGACATCAAAGCATTGAGAAATGTACTGTAAATTAAACAAATCTTGGTTTTGTTTCTTAAAACCAAAGCTTCTGGTCCATCGGAGGATGCCGGTGTGAATTTCCTCAAGAATGTGGGGGAGAGTGTGGCAGCTGCCCTCAGCCCTCTGGGTAAGTGGCTGTGTGTCTGTGCAGTGGGTGAACAGTGTGACAGCTGCTTTGCAGCTTTCACTTGGGATGCTGCAGAGGAATGGTAGCTGCCATGCCCTTGAGACAGGCAAGGATTTGTTGCCCCACATCAGCCTTTGCCAGTGCCCCACAGGTCCTTCCCTTCAGGGTTGAAGTCCCTCACAAACTCGAGCTTCCATTAGGAGTCATGTGTTCATACTTAGATAACCATCACTCTGATCAAGATACCGGACATTTTCAGTAATCTTTTTTTCCCCCTTCATTTATTTCACCCATCTCCCCAGTTCCCTTTCCCACGTGGCAGCAACTGTTTTGTTTTTTAGATTCTACACATAAGTGGAATCTTATGGTATTTGTCTTTCTCTGACTTATTTCACTTAGCATAATACTCTCTAGGTCTATTCACGTTGTCACAAATGTCACTCTTTTTTATGGCAGAATAATCCATTGTGTATTTGTACCACATCTTTATCCATTCCCCTCTCAGTGGGCATTCTGGTTGCTTCCATATCTAGGCTATTGTAAATAATGTGGCAATAATAGGAGTGTGTGTATCTTTTCAGATCAGGGATTTTGTTTTCTTTGGGTAAGTTCCTAGAAGTGGAGTTACTGGATCATATGGTATTTCTGTTCTTAGTTTTTTGAGGAACCTCCATACTGCTTCCCACAGTGGCTGTACCAATTTACATGCCCACCAGCAGTGTAGGACCAGAGTCCACATCCTTGCTGACATTGTTGTCTTTTGGTTGGTGGCCATTCTAACAGGTGTGAGGTGATACATCTGTGGTTTTCATCTGCATTTCCCTGATGATTAGTGATGTGGAGCATTTTTTTCACATGCCTGTTGGCCATCTGTATGTCTCCTTTGTAGAAATGTCTATTCAAGTCCTTTGGCATGTAGTCCTTTGATAAATTAAATTTAATTACATGAGTGCTGGTGGTTCTGGTTCTGCCCTCCCTCTCCCTCAGTGAGCATGTGCCCCAGAGTAGACACTGGGGGTGGACATGCTGACCTGTGCTGCAGCCTGTGGGCCTCACACAAAACTTGTATGGGCTGCAGCCTGCCTCGGCAGAATTCTAATGCTTAACATGCATGTTTTCACATCACTGGGCACCCTCTACATGCAAATGTGATGCTTCATGTGGTCCTCAGCCCAGTGGTGGGGGTGTTCTGACTACAGGTGGTATTTGGCTCTTGCTCTGTTCCTAGGGCCTGGCCCTTCCTGCTGTCAGCTGCTGTCCCAGTTAGGGAAAAACAAGGTCTCTTTATGGGCTTTTTGGCTTTCTGACTCTGAAGCTGACCTGGGATGTTAGCTGAGATTAATATTGTACTAAATTGGAGGAAGAGAAAGGTCTAATAAAGTATATATGTTGGCAGAGTTTTTCTACAAGCCAAGAAGATTTGGGGCTAGGATATTGGGAGTAGTAAGCCCTAGGGATTGTGAAGATCAAAGATGACCATCATTTGCTTTCTGGCTGCCAGGTTGGTGTCCCAGCCTGGTCCACACTGGTGGTGTGACCCTGAGACCTCTAGTGGATTGGCAGCGTTTATGTCCACATGCCAGGTGCCACTGTCCTGACCCCTCTCCCACTTGGGACTGAACAAAAGGGCTTTGTAAGCCTGCAGTCCCGACACAGGCAGCCGAAGCTGCCCTTACAGCTGTGCCTTCTGAGGACCAATGGTTTTGTGTCCTCCTTGGCCTGCAGGCATTGAAGTTGATATTGATGTGGAGCACGGAGGGAAAAGAAGCCGCCTGACACCCGTCTCTCCAGGCAGCTCGGGCACTGAGGATAAGTGCAGCTCTCAGCCCAGCAGCTGCTCCTCTGAGCCCAGCAAACCAGAGGGTGACATGGAGGACACCACACAGCATCTGGCTGAGCAAGTGGACAAGATTGCCCTGGAGTTGGGGCAGCCTGAGGTAAGCCCCTCCCACCCCAACCCCTGAGGCCACTGCCAGGACCTCTACACACTCCTCCCAGGCCCTTACAGCCAGTGGGACCCTTGCTGTCACAGCTCAGTCTGGCATTTGTCATGCTGTGAAACATCTGCTGGGACATGGTAAAAAAAACTGTGTGGCCCCTCGCTGGTCCTCACACCCGCCTCTCCCAGTACTAGAGTGGTGCTCTGGTGCGTCTGTCGCACTGGTCTCCAAGTGCTCATGGGCGGTTTTGTTCCAGGAGCAGATGGAGTCTGATAATTGCTCGGGAGGAGATGATGACTGGACTCATTTGTCTTCAAAGGAAGTGGACCCATCTACAGGGGAGCTCCAGTCCCTACAGATGCCTGAATCTGAAGGGCCAGGCTCTCTGGATGCTTCCCAGGAAGGGCCCACAGGGCTGAAGGAGGCTGCATTGTACCCACATCTGCCACCAGGCAAGTGGCTTCAAGCAGTTCCGTGTTCCTACCTTTCTCCTCCAAACACCCCCGACAGAAAATTAGGAGTTGGTTTTGTCCTCTTACACCTGTACTGAGCCCTAGTAAGCTCAACTAATTTTAGTAATTTCTAAGCCTTAACTTCCAGACCCAGAAGTCTGAAGGTGGGTGTGCTGTACAGGTGGCGCTGGCTTTGGTACTGCCACACACCACTGCAAGTGGGCTGAGTCCATTGCCACTGCTTCCTCAAGGACCTTTGAGCAGGGGTCACAGCCACATTCCTGTAGGAGCCAGGCAGGATGCCAGTATGTGAAGTAGGTGGTGTGTAAGGCAGTAGGGCCAGGTGGGGACTGTGGCAGCCCAGAGAACACACTGAATAAAAGGGCAGCTGATGCCCTGCTCTGGTCAGTACTGTCACATGACAGTGATATTCAAAACATCAACAAGGGAAAAGGCCCATGTATGGGCCGTATTTGGCCCTTGGCCTACCCGTATCTTCTTTGCTATAGAGCAGGGCTGGCAAACTATGGATTATGGACCAAGAATAATTGTTTTCATTTTTGTAATTGGCTGGAGAGAAGACATATGAGACTCTGACATCAGTGTCTGTTCGTAGGACTTGTTGGAGCACAGCCATGCTTGTTGGTTTATAGAGCTGGCTGCTTGTCTGCTGTAACAGCAGAATTGAGTAGTGACGGGCTGGGTGGCTGCACAACAGCTTGGAGTATTGACTCAGGCCATTGACAAAGCTTGCCCAGCCCTGCAGACATGGGGTACTTGCTGGCTGCAGGCTGCAGCCAGGACTCACCCTCATGGCTTTGGTGACTCTCTTGGCAGAGGCGGACCCCCAGCTGATTGAGTCCCTGTCCCAGATGCTGTCCATGGGGTTCTCTGACGAAGGCGGCTGGCTCACCAGGCTCCTGCAGACCAAGAACTATGACATCGGGGCTGCCCTGGACACCATCCAGTATTCAAAGCACCCCCTGCCATTGTGACAGCTTTTGCTCACCTGTTGTGTCCCCTTCCCTGTCTCATAGTCATGTTTCATGTTGCGCTAGTGTAGAACGGCAGGGCCTCTGGAAGGGCCAGTTTCTTCTGCATTCTTTTTCCAGAATCTGGGGGCAGGGACATGTGAAGCCATTTAGGAACAGTGGCATGAAGGGCAAGCTCCATGTCTGTGTGTGATAATGTCTGATAATCGCTGACCAGCTTCCCTGGGCAGAGTGGGAACTCCCTGCTGGGAAGGCATCAAAACCATACCACCCATCCTGCTCTTCGCCGCTGGGATTACACCAGCAGTACAGAATCTCTTGGCTAATGGCTGTCTGCTTTTCCCTTTTCTTTAAATGACTAATGTAGTTTATTTTCTGCTAGAAACCTGATATACTCCGAGTTTAGGTGGAGTACAGCCAACCTTCTGTCAGGGCAGAGGTGGCTGCCCTGGAGCAAGTCCTGGCAGGGAGGCGGCCTGGGGCTGCGCACTTCCACCAGGGCTGAGGAAGGGCTGCCGGGCGCAGTGCCTACTTCACAACCACTGTAGGGCTCTTACTTCCACATGTGTCAGCTGCTCTTAAACTAAGAAGATCCCTTTGTAACCATTCTGTTACTTCTTGTAAACAATCTAATTAAATGGTATAAGCACTTTAATCAAAGATTTCTCAATCAGAAATGCTGTCTGACAGTCAAGTTTATTGCTGGTGGTTCCTGTAGTCCATAAATCCATCCTCAGTCTCCTACTACTGACAGGTGACTTGGGGAGCCCCTCTTTCAGGGGCTCAGGCCCAGTGGTGAAGGGTTCACATAACAAATCTGCATTGGTGACACGCTAGTTCCACAGGTTGACATTGAAGTCCTCACCAGTTGTGAAGAGGTCATGTAGTTGCATCGGCAGAAGCTCCCGTGTCCCACTGACCCCTTTAGTGAGAGGATCTATGCCCCATGATGCGGAAGAGTGTGTGGCCCCAGGGAGCTGAGACACATGGAGGGGCCTGCTGAGGTGCCCTTCCCTTGGGGTCTGGGTCCTAGGGAGCCCTTTCTCCACACGTGGGCTGTTTGCAGGTGTCAGAAGAAATGGCTCCCACTTAGAAGATGTGGACCTGGCATGCTGGGCAGGACATGGTGGCTCCCCTGGTGGAGCAGTCAGCTCCCTGGTGTCCCAGTCCTCGTGCCTGTGTCCTCCTCTGACCCCTGCCAGGCCAGCATGCTCCTGTAATGGACACAAGCAGATGGCCACGTCCTTCAGAAACAGTGCCAGTGGCCCAGCAAGACCAGGGGCCGGAGAGAAAGGTCCCCATGCTTGTGCTATTGCTCCCTCATCTCTACATGTGGTTCTAGCACGCTCTGCTCTGCCTGCTTGCTAGTCAGACTGGCAAGCCAGGGACATGCTTTGATTTTGTGGGTTAGCAAAGCAGGGTGAATAAATGCCCTCTACCGCACCCCATCGCCTTGGCTAAAGTCCACTACTGGGCTTTCCAAAAACGGAAGGTGTTCTCATGTAATCAGGCAATCATCTCACAGGGACCTCAGAAGCAGGTCAGGGGGAGTCTGAGAAATATGGGCAGGAAGGGCACTAGAGACCATCTAGAAAGGGACGACAGCTTCTGTCCTGCTTGCTCGCTGCCAGGCAGGTGGGAAGGTCTCCCTAGGGCTGTGCTAGGGTATGGGGCTGTGGAAGTGGCTGCCCAGAGGGCCCATGTGAGGTGACAGTGCTGGGGCCTGGCTTCTCCCTTCTACTCAGGAACCAGATGTGCCAGCAATCTGGTTTACCACCTACTAAGGGCTCTGAATGCGATGACTGGTGGGACCCTGCATCCCAAGCCCTGGGCAGTATGTAGGGGCTGGTGGTCAGCTGCTAGTGATTAGATGACCATCAGCTCTGCTACTGACTGGCTGTGATCTGGAACCTTCTCCAGCCTTAGTCCCTCACCTTCAAAAACACACAGGTTTGTGGTGAGTGTTAAACAGGGTAATGCAGTTAAAATGTGCCAGGGCCTTGCTCAGTAACTGCTTCTACCATTACTCTAATTTAGAGGTCCAGGCCCATGTCCTTAGCTGGCGTTATAGTAAGTTGGCACCATCAGTCTGACCTCTGTACTCCCTGTGAAGGTGGCAATGCCACTCGATTATGCTGGGGGGCGGCAGTGCCTGATGCCCAGCAGAGGTCCTCTGCCTCAGCATCCACATCTCCGTGACCACGTAAAGCAAAACCTAGGTTCTGCGGCCTTGGCAGAGCAATGGGGCCTGCTGTGCATGGGGCATCAAGCCCCAGAGCAGATCCCAGGTGAAGAGGGCCGCAGAGCAAAAGGACTGCTTATGTGCCTGGGTGAGTGACAGTGACAGGACGGGAAGGGTGGGGACAAATCCTGGGTGGGACAGACACCCTCTTCTCCATGCAGAACTCAGAACTGTCCTGCCTCAAAAGCCCTACTGGTCAACCCAAGGCATGAAGCTGCCCTGAGTGGGAGTGAACATCACTGAGGATAAGCAATGTGGGGGAAGGTGCAGGCCTGAGAACAGCTGACGAGACAGAGAAGGCAAAACACCCGGATTTAAAAACTGTCTGCTCTCAATGGTCCCTGGGAGCAGAAGAGCAACACTGTCCTCAATCACTGACCTCCTGGGGCTCTAAGGTCACTTCACAGTCGCTGGAGTCCTGGGTGTCAGGGCTGCGTGGAGGCTGGCCCCTACTTTGGCTCCACTTCCTGGCAAAAGGACAGCGCTGTCAAGAATGCAGTCCTATCACTACATGGGCCATGATCCTGACTGGGTGGCCACCTAGTCTGACCCCTAGCACACACTGGGACCTTGTCATCCCATACAGCTTCCCGGGTGGTTGCTCAGCTTCACCCCACTGCTAGTAACAGGCTGCCCAGTGATACCCAAGGCAGTCCGTTCCTCTGCTCCACTGCTTGTAGTAACTAGAAAGTTCTTATTTGAACTGGAATCTGCCTCCCAAGAGCACCTGTCCCATAACAGCCACCCTGGCTCTAGATGTTGCCGTGTCTCAGAAAACTCACTGAAATGCAGAATAAGTCTGGAGTAGGAGCAGCCTATGAAAGTCAGGTCTTTCCTGCTCTAGGCTAAAGGCACCCAAGCCTGTCAGCTCCCCTGGCCACACTTCCTCTTGTCAACTCTGCCCTTGAAATAAATTCTTTCCTGAGGTCAGTGCCATCGAGACATTCAGAATTAAGCATGTGCTGAGCGTGCCCACGCCAGCGCCCTGCCCAGCACCTACCTCTGCATGGCAGCATCTGGTGCTGGCAAGGTGAGGAGGGCCCGATGGGACCGCGCCCCTGGCTCTCGCCAATCAGGCTCCTCCCAAGCCGCCAGGGGGAGGCCGCTCACCACTCCCCCATCTGTGAACCACCGTGGGTACGGGGCCCAGGCTGGGTTAGTGACTAGCTTGGCACCTTTTTCTAGGCAGGCCTGTAAAGAAGGGAGAATCCGGCTTTGCCATCCTGGATGAGGGTGGTCTCTTCAAACACCCTCTGCCTCCTTTTGGACTGGGTTCTGTGGAGTCCCTTTCCAGATACTTCAGCCAGCAGTTCTCTGAGGGCTGGGCTTCCTCCTACAGGATTGGAAGTCTGTGTATTCTTGGAGCTGGAAAGGAGGCACTTTTACTGAAAATCCCCAGCCCAACTCTGAGGCCTGATGGCCTCAGGACCCTGTCACCAGGGAAGGAACATGGCTTGACACTGGGGACGCTGCACAGCAGCAGAGACCTCAAGAAGTCACAGGGCACATCATCAGGGACTTTGCCAACATCCACAGCCTCTGCTCAGAGTTCTGAAGTCAAAGGCACGCAGAAAAAAGCAAGTATCTAGAGTAGCAAAAGTTGGGAAACAACCTAAATGCCCATGTCTAAGGGAACAGGTAGTGGTTTGCTCACTATATTCTGTACCTACTTAAAAAAAACACAGAAAACTATACAGCAACAGAGCAGACATAAGGAAAAACTCTAATATGTAACAGTATTTCTTATAATAAAGACGATGTAAAATTAAATCTGTGAGTGGATGAGATTGGACATGTAGAGCCAAATATGCAAGAGAAAGCCAGTGGGGTTCTGCCCTCACACTGGGGGGCACCTCTGACTGGTGTTTCCACTGCCCGTCCTTCCCTGGCAAGTCAGCGTTCCATGCACCTGGGGCATCTGGGATGTACCAATGGTATCCCCTGTGCAGTCCTTCAAGCTCTCACACACAACACCCCCGGCACTGTTTCTGTACCTACTTCACAGGGAACTGCTTTAGGACAACTGGATGGGGCCCTGCTGGGAGGCCTAGCCTGGGGAAGGGGACACAGAAACCCAGCTCCTCTCCAGCAGTGTCCTTTCTCCATCAGGGTGTGCCCGGCACCTGCGGGGCTGGAGGAGAAGCCTGGGTGGCGTACAAGCTAAGTTCAGAGGAGGCCTCCCCACAGACAAAAGAAAAAGTCCTTTCCACAGAGCACTGTAACTGTACACATGGCCATCCTCGCCTCAACAGAAAGGGACAGGTTTACCTGCTTGCTGCCGCTGGAGCTGTTAGCCCAGTGCCTATTGCTTGGTGGCACACAGCAGGTGTTGAGAACCACTGCCTAACATGGATCAATGGGCCCCGGCACAGAGCTGGTGGGCGGCTGGCTCACCTGTGGACATGCATGCTCCCCCTGCTGAGGACCTGCAGTTTCTTCACTGCTAGAGTTTGTAGGTGCTTCCGGAGACCTTTGGGAAAGAGCACACATAGGTCCCCTGTAAAATGACCAGGAAAATGAGACAAGAAAGGTGGCAGCAGAGGGATGCAAGGAGGTGACAGTGGGTACCGAAGAGGACCTGAGGGTGTCCTCTGCTGTTCAGATGTGGTCTAATCTTTTCCCCACAGTTCAGAGGCCTGACCACAGGGATCATTTGGTCCTTGGATTTAGGCTGACAGGGCCCTCTGTCAACAGGAAAGGGACACAGAGTAGAATGGGCAGCCTCCACCCAGGGAGGCCAGCTTGCTCCCTGCCTTTGCCAATGATGGGCTGTCACTGTGTGCCTGGGTGCTTCACTGCACCCCCATTTCCTCATCCAAAAATGGGGACAACAGAGCATGGGTAACTGTGGAGACAAATGATGACATGTGTGCACGTGCCCTGCTTGGGGCCCAGACACAGAAAGTTACATCAGCTGAACTGTCAGTAATGGAGGGGTCTTCGCTGCACAGGGTCACATGAGGATCTTTACAATTGCTATACCCCCACCACTGCAGGACAGGAGAGGCATTTTTCTGAGCTCAATGTGTCACAGTGTTTCTCCCAGCCTTCCTGGGACAGCAGGGCCCATCCACCTCAAAAAGAGGAGCCGGGGCCTCCACAGTCTCGAGTGGGTCCGGATGGCCAGTGACACAGTTACCATGGGAAGGCTGAGGTGAGACCAAAGCCACATCCCTCAATACCAGACAGGATTGTTACCTGCACAGATTGGAACTCTCACTACTGGGCTACGAGAACCCCAAACTACCAAACGAGGGCATCTCTACTTCACTGGGAAAAAGAGGTCTGTTTCTGTACCTACCTCACCAGGAACTGCTTCTTTAAAGGGTGATTCTGAAGATAAAATGAAATTATGGATGTGAAACACCTCCCCCACCATGCGGTCCATGCACCAATGCTCAGCTGAGCAGGGTCCTACCAGCTATTGTCCAGAACCTTGCTCACCTCCCTACAACTCAGGAACTCAGCTCCATCCACTGAAGGAGTCTCTCAGCAATCTGAGGATGTTAGTTTGTCCCCTCACCTCCCCACTGGAAGGCTGGGTGTCTACTGTTCCTTCATAGGTGATCTCTTCTCTCCAGCTACTTTCCAGCTCTTCCCACTGTTTTCCGTGTTCTACAATTATGTTGTGTGTCTAAGGGCAGATTTTTAACTTCAAATTAACTTATTGAGGTCTAATTAATATGTAAATAAAATGTACCCACTCAGAAGGGCAGTTAGGTGAGTTTTGATAAATTATACCTTTGAAACTATCACCCTGATCAAGATAAAGAAAAAAAGTATTTTGAGATATAACTGACAAGATGTAGAAAATTCTCATTGCCCCAAAAAGTGCCCCTGTGTCTTTGTAGGCAATTCCTTTTTCCTCAGAAAACCACTGATGGCTTGAGCATGTGATCTCTTGTGTCTGGCTTCTTTCATTTAGCAATTAGTTTTTGAGATCTGCCTGTGCTGTTTTTGTGCTAGTAACCACTGCATGAACATACCACGGTCTGTCCATTCACCTTTTGACGTATATGTAGGTCTAGCCTTTCGCCAATACCACACTGTCTCAATTCCTGTGGCATTACAATAACATCTTGGGTCAGGTTGTAGAATTCCTTCAACTTTGTTGTTTTCAAAATTGTTTTGGCAATTCTAGGTTCTTTCCATTTCTATATAAATTTTAGGATCAGTTTGACAACTGCAAAAGAAAGTTAGAATTTTGGTTGGGATTAGGTCAACTCTACATATCAATTTAGGATGAATTGACACCTTAATGATACTGAGTTTTCCAGTCCATGAACATGTTATATCTCTTCATTGATTTAGATCTTCAATTTCTCTCAGCAATGGTTTTGTAGCTTTTACTGAGGAGATTCTGCATTTTTATGTTACATTTATCACTTGGTAATTTTTTGATGCTATTATAAATGGTATTTGACTTTAAAAATCATTTTTCAGTTGTTCACTACATTTATATAGAAGTGAGATTTAACTTTGTATATTGACTTCGTATCCTTGTGATCTTGCTAAATTAGCTCTAGTAGCTTTTGTGCAGGTCCACTAGGATTTCCTATGTACACGATCATATTGTTTGCAATTAAACTATGGCTTTATCCAGTTTGAGACTGATTGTGTTTCCAGAATTTGAGTAAGTAAACCTTTAATGCTGAAAAATACTCCAATAGTTTCAAATATTGTCTTTGCCCTCTTTATTTTCCCCTTGCTGGATCTTTTTTCTGTAGCCTCCATCTCTTTCATGTTTTACACCTTTTTTTCTTTCAGATTTATTTTCCATTTCACTAAACTCTCTTCAACTGCACTTAATCTGTTTACTTGGCCACTGAATTTTTTTAAATTTATTTTTTATTTTGGTATCATTAATATACAATTACATGAGCAACATTGTGGTTACTAGATTCCCCCCATTAACAAGTCCCCACCACATACCCCATTATAGTCACTGTCCATTAGTGTAGTAAGATGCTATAGAGGCCACTGAATTTTTTATTCCAATGATCATATTTTTAATTTCATTAACTCTTCTTGGTTCTTTTTCAAACCTATTTGGTAAGTTTTTAACGTTGTTTTCTCCTTCAATGATCAACCCTTTATTTCATAAAATATACTAAATAAACCTACTTAGTCATTTTTTAAAGTCCTTTGCTCCTCAAATGATCAATCTTCTCTTCTACTTCATGAAATATATTAAATATACAGTATTAGGTGTTCTGAAGTCTTTGTGGGTCTGACTTGGAGCTCTGTTGTTTGTCTTTTGTTCCAGTGGCGTATCCCTGGAGTGTTTAAAGAGTTTAGCTGAGTCCGTGCCCCTCGGGACCTTCTATGTGGTATTCCCTCAGGCCTGGGCTGAAGGTGTGTTGCCAAGAAAGGCAGGAGCTGCAATTACCTCAGCCTCCTGGGACAACTGAGAATATAAATTCTCAGCTTGCAGCTATTCACACGCTGCGTGTACAAATTGAGAAACCATGTGATTGCCTCCTCGCAGCTTTAAAATGCTGGAGAGACATTTCCCCTCTTCAGCTAGTGTCGAGATCCACACAGGCAGGTTCCCTGCCACAGAGGTGTTTGTTTGTAGTCCACTCCTATGCCGAGGGTGCAGCCCTCTTGAGGACTCACCACCATATAGTGGTCTCCTCCTGAAGTTCCCACACTCAGCAGGCCCCAGGCACTGCCTCGGCCTCCTGCACCCCTCCCAGCCATCTACATGGACACTCCAGAGCACCAGCTTCAATCACCTCAGCAACCCAGGGCTTACCCTCTGGATTTGGGCTTTTGCTTCATTTTTGACTTTTGATGGTTATTTACTTTCCTGTCATCTTATCAGCATATTTACAATACTGTAGTTGCATTTTTAGTTATTTTCAGTGGGAAGATTGTTCAGGGTATCTAGTCACCATATCATAGATATGGAAATCTAAAGGATTTCCCCATTGTTTACTTCAAGTGTCCACTCAAGATGAAAACAGGGCAAGATAACTGTGCCCTTCTGTAACATCTGTACCTGAAGGACATCTCTGAAACCTGTCCCTGCAGCAGATTTAGTTTTTGGACATGGCGTCTACAGTCAGCACCAGAACCCTCACCGTAAGCCTGAGAAACAAAAAATATGTTAGGTTTAGAAAGTGTTCAGCGAAGGCTGAGAAACAGATCCATTAGCGACACACCTCAGGGAGGCGGGGGTGTTCTTCAGGCCCAAGGATGCTGAAGCACCACACAGGGACCCTAATGACTGCCTGCTGCTTCTGGGGTGATTTATTAGTCTTGGTCTCAGTAGCTAATAGTTTCAGTCTATCTGGCTTTGCGACCAGCACCCTGAACTCTACAACTCTTCAAAGCCAAACTCAACCCCAAACCCCACACAAAGTGGTTAATGAGCATGAGTAAAAAATTCAAAAGAGACATGTGAAATGACACTTCCCTCACTGGTGATCAAGGAATGAATACACAAAATAAAAAGAGATGCTTTTTCAGCTTCTGTATAGCAAAGGACAGCATCAGTAGAACAAAAAGACATCCTACAGTATGGGAGAATATATTCATAAATTAAATATCCGATAAGGGATTGACATCCAAATTATACAAAGAGCTCACACACCTCAACAAAGAAAAAGCAAATAAGCCAATTAAAAAATGGAAAGAGGAGCTGAACAGACACTTCTCCAAAGAAGAAATTCAGATGGCCAACAGACATGTGAAAAGATCCTCCACATCGTAAATCATCAGAGAAATGCAAATTAAAACCACAATGAGATACCACCTCACACCAGTTAGGATGGTCACCATCCAAAAGACAAACAACAACAAATGTTGGTGAGTATGTGGAGAAAGTGGAACCCTCCTACAGTGCTGGTGGGAATGTAAATTAGTTCAACCATTGTGGAAAGCAGTATGGAGGTTCCTCAAAAAACTCAAAGTTAGAAATACCATTTGACCCAGAAATTCCACTCCTAGGAATTTACCCTAAGAATGCAGCAGCCCAGTTTGAAAAAGACAGATGCACCCCTATGTTTATTGCAGCAATATTTACAATAGCCAAGAAATGGAGTAACCTAAGTGTCCATCAGTAGATGAATGGATAAAGAAGATGTGGTACATATACACAATGGAATATTATTCATCCATAAGAAGAAAACAAATCCTACCATTTGCAACAACATGGACGGAGCTAGAGGGTATTATGCTCAATGAAATAAGCCAGGCAAAGAAAGACAAGTAACAAATTATTTCACTGATCTGTTGAGTATAAGAACAAATAAATAACTGAAGGAACAAAACAGCAGCAGACTCACACACAGAACCCAAGAATGGACTAACAGTTGCCAAAGGGAAAGGGACTGGGGAGGATGGGTGGGAAGGGAGGGAGAAGGGGAATAAGGGGCTTTACAATTAGCACACATAATGTAGTGGGGGGGGCATGGGGAAGGTAGTATATACAGAGAAGACAAGTAGTGATTCTATAGCATCTTACTACACTGATAGACAGTGACTGTAATGGGCTATGTGGGGGGGACTTGATAATAGGGGGAGTCTAATAACCGTAATATTCAAGTAATTGTATATTAATGATACCAAAAAAAAAAAGGATGCTTTTTCATTAGCAGCCACCCATTTGTTCAGTAAATACTCTGAGCACTAGTTAGGTGCCAGGTCTTGGACTGGGTAAGGCAGTACGATACAGGAGTGGACAAAAGTCACTATCATCAGAGTTCGCAGTCTAGCGAGAGGAGACAGATGACAAACACTTGCATCAGCTATCTGCCGTGAGATGGTGGGAAGGTGATGAAAGGGGGTGGGCCAGAGCACGGACAGAGCACACATTTTGTACAGCATGTTCAAGGACTATAGATCCCTGGGAGGAGGCATCTGAGCACAAATAAGGTACGAGGAAGAAAGCCATGCAGACCTGAGGGAAAAGCATTCAGCAGAAGCAATGAAACAGAAAGAGTGCAGAGACCTGAGGCCGGCATCCTGGAGGCCATGTGGCTGGAGTGGAGTGGTCTCCGGCAAACGTGGTAGGAAAGGAGGTGTGAGATGGCAGGCCCTTCAGCAGGCACTTGGCCTCATGTGCATGAGACCTGCTCTGCTGTTGCCGTCATGAAATTTGAGACTTTTATCTTTGAACTTGTGTAAGCGGGATCTGATGGGACAATGGAACCTGTCTGTGTGCAGAGGGGACACACACGTGTCTACTGCTCCTTGACATACCATTTCATTTGTGCACAGCATGCTTGACCCCCAGGAGCACAGAATTCCAGGAGACTCATGGTGTACAGGGGTCCTGAGAGGCTCCAAGTGCAGCCAGTAGCATGTGCTATGCGTGCCTGAGGATGTGGGGGTGCCCACAGCCCACGAGGCCAGGCCATCCATGGGCACCGTGGTCATGCAGGAAGACAGGGGTGCTCTAAAAACATGCCCCATCAAGGAAGCCTGTCATGTCTTTCTTTACTCCTGCTATTTCCCTGGGACAGCCAATTGCTTATGCTAAAAATTATGACACACAGGAAAGGGAAAGACAGGGGAACCCAGAGTTCTCTGTCCTCATCTGTGAGCTGAAGGTAGACTGTGTGTAGAAAGTGTGCGTGCAGAAACAGCTGAGCCAATTTTGTGCGGCATTTCCACTCTTCCAGTAAGAATGAAATACACAGGCATATATGAGCTACAAAATGCCAGTTGTGAAATTTTGATTCTGCAAATACACTAAATGCTCTGTGCATTTAAAGCTGGCGTTACACAATACAAACGGTTAAGATTCATGCCAATAATTTAAAATGTTAGTTTTTACTTAGATGTTAAGTATTAACTAAGAGACATCATGAAAAAGCACAAGAGAGACCATGGAGGGAAGGAAAAGCTTTGCCCACTCCCTCTGCTCAGCCCTGTTTGCAGGACTGCAGCTTTGCTCTAACCTGGAAGGTCTGAGTGTCACGACCCAGCACGTCTGAGCAGGGCCTCCGGCTGCGGTGCTGAGAGTGACCCATAGGCAGCAACAGGCGGGGGGACAGCTACAAACATGAGGGAGCTGCAACACTGGGCCACCACAGAAAGAGGCCAGGCTGCGTGTGTTCTCAAGGCAGAGCCAACATCTGCCGATGGGTTGAATGAAGAGTATAAAAGAAAAAGTCACGGATGACTTCAACGTTTTTAGCCCCAACAGCTTGACAGGAACTGGCACTTGAGAGA